AATTGTAACGTCCAAAATGTTTTACTGTATTTTCCCTTTTTCGTTTAATAAATTGGGTAATACGAGTGTAATGGTGACTAAAGGGAGTTTTTTCATGTCCTCTCTGCTCTAACTACGAAAATATTTGATTCGCGGAATTTCATTTATCACGGTAGGGTCTAGAACCGATTAACCGCGATAAACGAGAGTTCACTGTATTCTTTAATCTGTTTTCCTCTAGCCTTTCTTCCCCTTCTGTTCTCCCTGCATTTGTGGTGACTATCAAAGTCTGTTTCTTTTAGTATGATGATCTTTATCTTGATTCTTTTTTTTAATAGTAGGGATCTCATGCAATACTTGTATTTTGTGGTTGACTAACGTCACTCAGCAGAATGTCTTTCACATCCATCCATCTCCCAAGGTATGTCACGTTTTCATTATAATTCTGTAGTGGTTTGTAGTATTCTGTGTGTGTATGCACTGTCCTGCCACTGATGGACATTTCGGTTGTTTCCGTCTTTCTTGCTATTGCGAATAGGACTGCGGTTAACTTGAGTGTGCTTATATCTGTGCGATGTTTGTTACTTCTGTAGGGCATTCACAAGTAGAGAGATTGCTGGGTCATACAGTATTTCTATTCCCAATCATTGGAGGAAGTACCGGTGACTTTGCACAGTGGTTGGACTCTTTTATTGTCCCACCAGTGGCAAAGAGGCTCCAATCTCTTCTTACTCTCTGTATGGTAGCTTATCTTCTGTTTCTGTGAACTTTGCTGTCAGTACCAGTGTGAGGTGGTAGCTCATTGTTGTTTTGATTTAAATCTCTCATAAGGCTAGTGATCATTTCTTTTTATGTTTGTTGGCCACCTCGATGTCATTGGTGAGCATTTGTTATGCATTCCTTTGTTGTTGAGGTGGTGTAGTTTTCTAAGGATTTCACACTATTTCCTTGTCTAATCTGTCACTGCTGACACCCTTCCCCCCAGTCTTTTCGTTCTCTTTGTACTCTTTTAATGTACTCTTTTTTTTATATGTACTTTATATAAATATAATGTACTTTATTTTTAGGAGATGTCAATCATCTATTTTGTCTCCTGTGTATGTGATTTTCCTAATGTTTGATAGTGCTCTTATGCTCTGTATTACCTGTGACTTCTTTATAGTTCTAGGGTTTACATTTAGGTTTTTAATCCATGTTGAGTTTATGTGTGTGTGTGTGTGTGTGTGTGTGAGAG